TTCTTCGGGAGGCAAAAAAGAAAAAAAAATCTGTTTTTTGGGAAAGATAAACAAGATTGATAGACCCTTAGCTAGACTCACCAGGAAACAAAGAGAGAGAACCCAAATGCACAAAATCAGAAATGAATTAGGAGAAATAATAACTGACACCACAGAAATACAAAAGATCGTTAACAGCTACTATGAACAATTATATGGCAACAAATTCAACAATCTAAGTGAAATGGACAAATTTCTAGAAACACCCAGTGTCCCAAAACTAGAACTGGAAGAGATAGAAAACTTGAACAGACCAATAACAACTAAGGAAATTGAAGAGGTAGTCAAGACTGTCCCAGCAAAAAAAAAAAAAGAAAAAAAAAAAAGAAAAAGCCCAGGCCCAGATGGCTTCACAGTGGACTATTACCAAACATTCAAAAAAGAACTAACACCCATTCTCCATTCTCCTCAAACTATTTCAAAAAATTCAAGAAGGAAGACTTCCAAACTCGTTTTATGAGGCCAGCATAATTCCAATTCCAAAACCAGAAAAAGACACTACAAAGAAAGAAAACTACAGGCCAGTACCCTGATGAACATAGAAGCCAAAATCCTGAACAAAATTCTAGCAAATCATATCCAGCAATACATCAAAAAATTATTCACCATAACCAAGTGGGATTTATTCCAGGGAATGCAAGGCTGGTACAATATTCGCAAATCAATAAATGTGATGCACCACATAAACAAAATGAAGAATAAAAACCACATGATCATATCAATAGACACTGAAAAAGCATTCGACAAAATCCAGCATCCATTTGTGATAAAAACGCTCAGCAATGTGGGAATAGAGGGATCATATCTCGACATAATAAAGGTCATATATGAAAGACCTTCAGCCAACATCATATTCAATGGGCAGAAACTAAAAACAGTTCCCTTAAGAACAGGAACAAGACAGGGATGTCCACTTTTGCCACTGTTATTTAACATAGTACTGGAAGTCATAGCCACAGCAATCATACATGAAGACAAAATAAAAGGGATCTAAATTGGAAAGGAGGAAGTGAAACTGTCATTAATTGCTGATGACAAGATATTATACATAGAAAACCCTAAAGACTCCATCAAAAATCTACTAGTCTTAATAAATGAATTTGGCAAAGTAGCAGGATACAAAATTAATAGCAACAAAATTGACATTATTCTTATACACCAATGATAAACTCACAGAAAGAGAAACTGAAAAAACAATCCCATTTACCATCACGGCAAAAAAACAAGACACCTAGGAATAAACTTAACCAAAGACGTAAAGGACTTATTTGCAGAAAACTGCAGGACATTGAAAAAGAAATAGAGGAAGATATAAAAAAGTGGAAGCACATATCTTGTTCATGGATTGGAAGAATTAACATCATTGAAATGTCCGTATTACTTAAAGCAATTTATAGATTCAATGCAATCCCCATGAAAATTCCAATGACATATTTCACAGAACTAGAACAAATACTTCAAAAGTTCATATCGAACCAAAAACCCCGAATAGCCACAGCAATTTTGAAAAAGAAGGACAATGTTGGTGGGATTACCATACCAGATATCAGGTTATACTACAAAGTGACTGTAATGAAAACAACCTGGTTCTGGCACAAGAACTGGCATATAGACCAGTGGAACCGAATAGAGAACCCAGAAATGGACCCAAGGCAATATGCTCAATTAATATTTGACAAAGGGGGCAAGAGCATCCAGTGGAGTAAAGACAGCCTCTTTAATAAATGGTGTTGGGAAAATTGGACAGCTACATGCAAAAAAAATGAAAGTAGACCATCAACTTACACCACACACAAAAGTAAACTCAAAATGGATAAAAGACTTAAATGTGACTTATGAACACATAAAAATCCTAGAAGAAAATGTAGGCAACAAAATTTCAGACATCATATGCAGCAGAATTTTCACTGATGCATCACCTACGGCAACAGAAACAAAGGAGAAAATGAACATATGGGACTACATCAAACTCAAAAGCTTCTGCACATCAAAAGATACAATCTTCAAAATGGAAAAGTCACCCACTGTATGAGAGAGCATAATTGCACCATACACTAGAATAAACTCAAAATGGATAAAAGACTTAAATGTGATCCGTGTATACATAAAAATTCTAGAAGGCAATGTAGGCAACAAAATTTCAGATATCATATTCAGCAGAATTTTCACTGATACATCACTTAAGGCAACAAAAACAAAGTTAAAAATGAACACATGGGACTACATCAAACTAAAAAGCTTATGCACAGCAAAAGAAACAACCATCAAAATGGAAAGGCAACCCACTGCATGGCAGAACATTATTGCCAATGATACATCAGATAAGTGGTTAATTTCCAAAATATATAGAGTACTTATATAACTCAACAAAATGAAGGCAAAGAACCCAATTAAAAAATGGGCAGAGGAGCTGAATAGACACCTCTCCAATGAGGACATACAAAGGGCCAAGAGATATATGAAGAAATGCTCAACATCACTAATCATCAGAGAGATGCAAATGAAAACAACAATGAGGTGTCACCTCACACCTGTCAGAATGGCCGCCATCACCATATCATCAAACAACAAGTGTTGTTGAGGGTGTGGAGAAAAGGGGACTCTAGTGCAGTGCTGGTGGGAATGCAGACTGGTGCAGCCACTATGAAAAACAATATGGTGTTACCTCAAAAAATTAAAAATTGACCTTCCATTTGACCCAGTGATCCCTTTTCTAGGAATATACCCTTAGAAGCCTGAAACACCAATCAGAAAGAATATATGTACCCCCATGTTCATAGCAGCACTATTTACAATAGCTAAGATCTGGAAACAGCTCAAGTGTCCATCAGTAGACGAATGGATAAAAACCCGTGGTACATATACACAATGGAGTACTATGCAGCTGTAAGATAGAAAGATCTCTTATCCTTTGATACGACATGGAGGGATCTGGAAAGTATTATCCTAAGTGAAACAAGCCAAGCAGAAAAAGACAAATACCACATGATCTCACTTACAACAAAGCTGGGGATCGGGTGTGGTGGAAGGGGAGGATGGTGTCAATGGGGGAAAAAAGAGAAACATCTGTAACAAAAACAAATTATTAAAAATTAAAAAAAGAAATGAGCTATGGAAGAGTGTCATGGATTGTTTCCTGAGTTTGAGGAGCTCTGACCAGAATTGAGTTTCCAGGCTGGAACAATGGTCCGGAACACTGATCTTGAGGCAATTGTGCAATTGGCGAGTTTATTTTTCATAGTGTTTCTACTTGTCATACAGTTACACACCCTCTTCTTATCTCCTCTTTAAGGGTAAGGGTTCTTGAGCTCTTCTGATGATTCTTGGCCACTTTGTTACCCAAATTTACTTATGGGAAAGGATGTGAGACTCATACCCTCTAAGGAAGCAAGCGTTGCTATCAGAATTATCTTTGTCAGGGGGTTTAATATTTTTTAAAAATATGATTTTATTGATTTTTTTAGAGAGAGAGGAAGGGAGAGAGAGAGAAAAACATCAATGTGAGAGCATAACACTGAACTGCTGCCTCCTGCATGCCCCCTACCGTGGGCTGAAGCTCCAAATGCTGAACCAGCCAGGGCGATTTTATATATATATATATATATATATATATATATATATATATATATATATATATATACAGTGATACCTCGGTTCTCGAACATAATTCGTTCCAAGAGGACGGTCGAGAACCGAATTGTTCGAGAACCGAAGCAATGAAACCAATAGGAAAGCGTGACTCCACAAAGCGTGACTCTCTCTCTGCACTCACACTGATGACGCAAGCAAGGCGCGCTGGGCCAAATGAACACCATTCGGCTCAACTCGGCTCATCTCGGAAGTTCGAGTTCCAAATATTTGTTCGGATTCCGAGACAAAAGTTTCTCGAATCTCCATTTGGTCGAAAACCGAGGCGTTCGAGAACCGAGGTATCACTGTATATATTTTATCTTCACCTGAGGACATTTTTCCATTTTTTTGTTCAGATAGAGTGGGAGGGAGAGAGAGGAAGAGAGAGAAAGAGGAACATTGACATGAAAGGGACACATCAAGTGGTTGCCACCTGCACAACCAACCAGGGCCGGGGACAAACTGCAATCGAGGTACGCGCCCTTAGTGGTAACCAAACCCGGGTCTCTCTGAACTGCAGACCGACACTCTAAGCACTGAGCCAAACTGGCCAGGGCAATATTTTTAATAGGGATCAAAGTTGTATGCCGTGGGTCTCTAACTGTTCTGTGAGGAGAAGAAACTAGTGTTTATTGACATGTGTTGCAATTACTAGAGATTGGAGGGCTGTGTTACTGAAGTCTATCAGTTAGTTAAGTTCATGGAATAGGTAGGGTTCGGGAGTGGAGGGGGCTCTGGGTGAGCACAGAAGCAGAAACAGTACTCAGTGGGAAAACCAGAAGACATTGAAGAATGAAGGATGGGTAGGAGATAGAACAGTGTCATTAACTTTGAAGAGATACAAGATGGGGCTTAAAGGTTTTCTAGATAAGGGCCCTAGATAAATGCTTAACACTAGATGAAACTAAGTTGTGGAATTTCTTATGTTGTCCAGGAGTAGAGGAGATTTTAGGTGTCTTGATATACCTAGAGCCCTTAACACAGGCTGTATCTTATCTGGTATATCATGAATACTGGGTTCTGGTAGAATTCAGAAGACTTAAATACATCAATAAAAGGAAAGAACTGGAGGTAAAAAAAAAAGTCTGAAAGTTATTAGACAGGTCATAATGTGTATAGTAGAAATTGAGTTGAATGATCTTCAAGGTCTTTTTCAATTCCAAACACTTCTGTTTATGATAATTTATAAACAGTTACTCTACATCAAATCCTTCACTAGCACTCAACGTTTTCTTATGTCTTCCCTATAAAATTAATTTGAACTTTGAAAATACCCATTGCTAATCATTTTAATATGACAGTTTTCTCTTTTATTTCTCTTTTTAAAAAAGACCAAGTCAATCCAGAAACCTCTAAAGAGATATCTAATTGGATTCCATCATTTCATAGCTATGAAGACTTCAACCGTAGGACACTACAGGTAAGAGTGGGTTGGTTCTTTGATTACTTTGTGTGTAGAATATGTGCAACAGAAGATAAAGAATAGTGTTTTTCTAAGTGTGTCCAGGAGACCTTACATAAAAGAATTACCTAGGAAGTTTGGTAAAAATACAGAAACCTGGCCCTGGCTTGTTTGGCTCAGTGGTTAGAGCGTTGGCCTGCGGTCCAGAGAGACCCAGGTTCGGTTCTCACTAAGGGCGCATACCTTGGTTGTGGTGTGCCCCCGGCCCTGGTTGGTCGTGCGGATGGCAGCCACTCCATGTGTGCCTTTCATGTCGATGTTTCTCTCTCTCTCTCTCTCTCTCTCTCTCTCTCTCTCTCTCTCTTCCTTTCTCTCCTTCCCACTCTGTCTGAACAAAAAATGAAAAAATGTCCTCGGGTGAGGAAAAAAAAATACAGAAACCTGGGACCTACCGTAAACTGAATCAGAATCTCAATCCTTGTAAGGCCAGGAGCCTGCATTTCTAACAAGCTCCCCAAATACTTATGCCAACTGAGGTGTTTTTTTAACATAAGGTTTTATTTATTTTATTTTTTATTGTTTAATTTTTTTTTTCAATTACAGCTTACATTCAGAATTATTTTGTATTAGTTTCAGGTGTATAGTATAGTGGTTACACAATCATATACATTACACTGTTCCCCCTGATATTTTCAATACTCACCTGGAACTATACATAGTTATTACAATATTAACAATATTCCTATGCTGTACGCTACAGCCCCATGACTATTTTGCAACTACCAATCTGTACTTCTTTTTTAAAAATTATTTTATTAATTTGTTTTTGTTACAGATGTTTCTCCATTTTCCCCTCCTCCCCATGTCTCCCATTCCTTCCCCAGCTTTATTGTCTATGTCCATTGGTTATGCATACATGCATGTAAGTTCTGTGGTTTATCTCTTCCCCCTCAACATCCCCTCTTCTGGGGTTTCTCAGTCTGTACCTCACCTCTATGTCTCTGGGTCAATTTTGTTCATCAGTTTATGTAGTGCATTATATTTCACAAGTAAGTGAGATCATGTGATATTTGTCTTTCTCTGCTTGGCTTGGTTAGCTTAGTATAATACTTACCAGGTCCCTCCATGTCGTCTCAAATGATAAGATAACTTTCTTTATTACAGCTGCATAATATTCCATTGTGTACATGTACCACAGCTTTTTTATCCTGTTGTCTACTGATGGACACTTGGGTTGTTTCCAGATCTTAGCTATTGTGAACATTGCTGCTATGAATATAGGGGTACATATATTCTTTCTGATAGGTGTTTCAGGCTTCTTAGGGCATATTCCTAGAAGTGGGACCAGTGTGTCAAATGGTAGTTCCATTTTGAAATTTTTGAGGTAACACCATAGTGTTTTCCATAGTGGCTGCACCAGTCTGCATTCCCACCAGTAGTGTCTTAGAGTTCCTTTTTCTCCACACCCTCGCCAACAGTTGTTTAATGATTTGTTGATGGCGGCCATTCTGACAGGTATGAAGTGATACCTTGTAGTTGTTTTAATTTGCATCTCTCTGATGATTAGTGACATTGAACATTTTTTCATATGTCTTTTGCCATTTGTATGTCCTGTTTGGAGAGGTGTCTATTTAGTTCCTCTGCCCATTTTTAAATTGGGTTCTTCGTCTTCCTTTTGTTGACTTGTATGAGTACTCTATATATTTTGGAAATTAATTCCTTATCTGATGCATCACTGGCAATTTTGGTCTTCCATATAGTGGGTTCCCTTTCCATTTTGATGATTGTTTCTTTTGCTGTGTAGAAGCTTTTTAGTTTGATGTAGTCCCATGTGTTCATTTTTTCCTTTGTTTCTCTTGCCTTAGGTGTGGTGTCAGTGAAAATTCTGCTGCATATGATGTCTGAAATTTTGTTGCCTGCATTTTCTTCTAGGATTTTTATGGATTCATGAGTCACATTTAAGTCTTTCATTCATATTGAGTTTATTCTTGTGTGTGGTGTAACTTGGTGGTCTGCCTTAATGTTTTTTAAGTATATATCCAGTATTTCCAACACCATTTGTTGAAGAGACTGTCTTGACTCCACTGTATACTCTTGCCATCTTTGTCAAATATTAATTGAGCATATTATCTTTGGTCAATTTCTGGGTTCTCTGTTTTGTTCCATTGATGTGTCTGTTCTTATGCCAGTACCAGGCTTTTTGATTACAGTGGCTTTGAAGTATAACTTCATATCTGGTAATTGATTTCTCCTACTTTGTTCTTCCTTTCCAAGATTGCTGTGGCTACTTGGGGTATTTTGTGATTTTATATAAACTTTTGGAGTGTTTGTTCTAGTTCTGTGAAATATGTCGTTGGTGTTTTGATGGGGATTACATTGAATCTATAGATTGCTTTGGGTAGTATGGACATTTTAATGATGTTAATTCTTCCGACCCATGAACAAGGTATATGCTTCTACTTTTTCATATCTTCCTCTATTTCTTTTTTCAATGACGTGTAGTTTTCTGTGAAGAAGTTCTTTCCTTCTTTGGTTAAGTTTATTCCTGGGTATCTTAATTTTTTTGATGCGATGGTAAATGGGATTGTTTTCTTAGTTTCTCTTTCTGTGATTTCATCATTGGTGTATAAGAATGCCGTCGATTTCCTGATGTTAATTTTGTATCCTGCTACTTTGCCAAATTCATTTATTAACTCTGGTAGATTTTTGATGAAGTGTTTAGGATTTTTTATGTACAACATCATGTCATCTGCAAATAATGACTGTTTCACTTCCTTTTTACCAATTTGGATCCCTTTTATTTTTCTTCATGTCTAATTGCTGTGGCTAAGACTTCCAGTACTATGTTGAATAAGAGTGGCGAAAGTGGGCATCCCTGACTTGTTCCTGTTGTTAAGCAGAATGCTTTTAGTTTTTGCCCATTGAGTATGATGTTTGCTGTAGGATTTTCATGTATGGCTTTTGTTATGTTGAGATATGATCCCTCTATTCCCACATTACTGAGTGTTTTATCTGTGGTTTATCTCCCCCCACCCCTTTTCTTGGGACTGTCAATCTGTATCCCACTTCCATGTCTCTGGGGTCTCTCTGTCTCTTTGTCTCTCTCTCTCTGTTTCTTCTTCTTACAACAGTTCCTTCAGCATTTCTTGCAGTGCTGGTTTGGTGGTGGTAAATTCCCTTAGTTTTTTTTTTTTTTTTTTTTTTTTAATCTGTGAATCTCTTTATTTCTCCTTCAATTTTGAATGATAGCCTTGCTGGATAGAGTAGTCTTGGATTCAGGCCCTTGCCTTGCATTACTTTGTATACTTTATGCCACTCCTGTCTGGCCTGCAGTGTTTTTATTGAGAAATCAGCTGACAGTCTAATGGGAGCTCCCTCATAGCTAACTTTCTGTCTCTCTTTCTTCCTAATAGATTTTTTCTTTGTCTTTAATGTTTGCCATTCTTGTTATGATTTGTCTAGCTGTAGGTCTTCTGGGGTTCATCTTGCTTGGAACTCTCTGTTTCCTGAACTCATGTGACTTTTTCTTTCACCAAATTAGGGAAGTTTTCTGTCATTATTTGGTCAAACAGGTTCTCTATTTCTTTCTCTGATTCTTCTTCTTCCGGTATTCCTATAATGCGAATGTTGTTAAGTTTTGATTGTCCCATAGCTTCCTTAAACTTTCCTCCTGTTTTGTGTTTTTTTTTTCCCATTTGCTACTCTATTTAGGTGTTTTTCTCTATGTTGTCTTCTAAGTTACTGATTCAGTCTTCAGCTTCTTTTAATCTGCTATTGAACCCTTCTAAGGAATTTTTTTATAACAGCTATGTCATTCTTTGTTTCCTCTTGATTTTTATGCATTGCTTCTACCTCTCTTTTTAAGATAAAGTAGTCCCCAGTGAGCTCTTCATAATTCTTATTAAGTTGCTTATAGTTCTCTCCAAATAGTTTGAGCACCCTTATAATCATTTCATTTCTTTGAATTCTTTATCTGACAAGTTGCTTTCTTCCATTTCCTGTAGTTCTTTTTCTAGTGATTTCTCTTTTTCTTTCTTTTGGGTGTTGTTTCTTTGTCTCCCTATTTTAGCCATCTGGTAGCTCTAGCCCTGGTGAGAGATGTTTCGATGTGTAGGCAGCTCACTGTATATCAAATAAGGCTATTGTACCTCCCAGACTGTTCTGTTGCTTGCTGCTTCTTGCCTGTTGTGGATCCTGGAGGCTTGACTACTGGGGGCTGGTATTGGTGTGTCCTGGTAGTTGTTCCTGGTGGATTGCATGGGCACCTCTGAAGCTATGTTCCCTGCTGGTAGCTAGTGCCACCTGTAGCAGTATTGCTCAGGCCCTACCGGAGCCGCACTTCCTGCCAGCTCCTTGGGAAACTGGGTCACACAGGACTGTCTGGGGCCCCGGCTCTGCACTACTCTTGTGGGCCGCTGGGTTGCACAGGATTGTTTGGTGTCCTGGCTCTGCTCCACTCTTGTGGGCTGTTGGGTCACACAGGGCCCTTTGGAACCCAGGCTCACCAATGCTCTTGTGATCAACAGTGTTGCACAGGCACTATGGAGCCCCAGGTCCCACTGCTGGTGGCTGGGGAGTGCTGCTACCCATTGGGTCTCAGCTCCTGCTCAGGCTTTGCTTTAGTTTTTGGGGATGCTTCTCTGCTGCTGGTCTGTGCTTCTATTGCCTGGGGATGGATGTCTGCTCCCCAGCCTCTGTTGCTGGGGGTATATCTCAACTCTGATGTGGCTGCTACTGTGGGGGATGGTGCTGGGCTCCAGGCCGTTTGCCGTTTCTACAACCAGCACCTTGACAGCTCTACGATTGTGCACTTGTCTGTGTTGACACAGAGTACCAGGTGCACTGGTGGGCTCAGGTTGCTGGGCCCTAGTAGCTCCCACTACCTCCTCCCATTGAAGACCTTGGATCTTCCAAAATGGTGGGACCTCCCCGAGGCACAGGGAGAAGTGCCCTGAAGAGCTGCTTACCGTAGTAGCCAGCTGATCCAGTCCACAGCACAGGAACCTTCTTCTCAGTGTCTCTGCACTTCAAGAGTTTGGTTGTCCACATTCACGTCCACTCACACTCTCTCACACACTCACCCTCCCTCTGTTCCTGCCCACCTCCATCTTTCAAGAAAAAAAATCATAAAGCCCTAGTTTATACTTCTTTTTTTGTAATGAAAGTTGAATTTTTTTAATTCATTTTTGTTACAGATATTTCTCCCTTTTCCCTCATTGACACCCTCCTCCCCCTCCCTTGCCTCCTATCCCCGGCTTTGTTGTCCATGTCCATTGGTCATGCATACATGCATATAAGTTCTTTGGTTAATCTCTCCCCCTCTTACCCCCTCTTCTAGGGATTGTCAATCTGTACTTCTTAATCCCTTCACTTTTTTCACTCAGTCCTCCAAACTCCCTCTTCTTGGCAACCATCACTTTGTTTTCTGTATTTGAATCTGTTTCTGTTTTGTTTGTGAGTTTTGAAAACCACTGTTCTTAGGTGATAACAAATAGGAACAAGTCTTTGCATAGATTAGTGACAAGTTTAGTAATTACCTAGTAGGCTCATTCAACATAGACTGCTAAACTCTAAAAAATAAACATTTAAGTCTTATTTTTTTCCTTTAAGGATATTAGATGTTTATGGTTTCTATCTCCAGGGGAACTGTTTTTTTCACCAAGTTTAAAGGCCACAAACTAAAACCTGAATGACCATCGTCTTTTGAGTTAGAGAGGGATGTGAATTGTGCCTTTGCCAGTTGTTTTGTGTCTTGAGAGTTACCGTTCTCTGAACTTCGATTTCTTTCTCTGTAAAATGGGTAAAAAAATTCTTTATTTCACTGAGTTGTTGTGAGAATAAAGTAAACATGTGCAATATCTAGTGCATTTTCTCTCTTCTCCATGTCATTTAATTTTTCTTATTGTCCATTGCTATGTCTCTTTGTGTTGCAATGTGAGTTATTTCTTTAGCTCTGTCTCCCAGTTCAAAAATAGTTTTCCAGCTATGTTCTAACATGATGTTTAACTTATACACTGAGTTTTTATTTTTGATGATAATATCATTTTTAGAAATCTTGTTTGATTATTTTTACATCTGCCTGGTCAGTTTTGAGTCTCTTGTTTCTTCATCATATTTTCATTACCTGTTGTTATTTATTTAATCATGTAAAGCATACTTATTTTTATTCAATCTCTTATAATTCTAGTAACTTCTAAAATCTGATTTCACATTTTATTACTTGTAATGCCTCTCATTCACTTATATTTTTCTGTGTTTATTAATATTTTATTAAAAGCTCATGCTTTTTAAATTTTATCTTCATGAATTCTTTGAGCCTTGGTTTCAAAATAATTATCAGGAGATGATTTCATTTTATTTTTACTAGATATCTGCATACAGGACTACTTTATTATTATTTTTTGAATCCTCACCCAAGGACATTTTTCTATTTTTTGTTCAGATAGAATGGGAGGGAGAGAGAGGAAGAGAGAGAGAGAGAGAGAGAGAGAGAGAGAGAGAGAGAGAGAGAGAGAAACATTGGCATGAAAGGGACACATCGAGTGGCTGCCTCCCATACGACCCAACCAGGGCCAGGGACAAACTGCAATGGAGGTATGTGCCCCTATCGGGAACCAAACCCAGGTCTCTCTGGACCGCAGGCGTTCTGACCGCTGAGCCAAACTGGTCAGGGCGACAGGACCACTTCAAACTAAATAATAGGTTCAAGGTGTTAGGGGCTAAACAGATAGTTTGTGAATTCCAGCTCTAAATTTGTGTGAGTGTGCTTCCGTTTAGTAACAAGCAGATGAGACTAGTTTTTCTTTTCCTTCTTTAGCCAGTGCTGAAACTGAGGCAGACATATACATTTTTGCTGGATAAGATCTTTCTGTTTTGCCTACTGAGAGTGTTACCATTTAGGAGGCATGGCTTTATGCAAGAGTCTCTTATTTCACCTCCCACCTTGTGCAGGCCCTGTCTTTGCTTTCTGTCCCCCAAGCTCTATGTTCTCAGTGTTATGCAGTGCTCCCAAGGCAAATAAAAACTCCAATATCATCTTACTTCTTAATTCCCATATTCTAGTTATTTCTGATATCAGGTTGTTCTTCTTGCTTTATGACCTCAGTCCTGTTTTGAAATATAAGTTGTTTTTAAAATTTATTTTATTGTTGAGAGTATTACAGATATCCTCTATTTTCTCCCCTTTGCTCTCCTCCACCCATTTCCCACCCCACCCCAGGTCTTCATCTGTCTATTGTCTGTGTCCATGGGCTACGAACATATGCATATAAGTTCTTTAGTTGAACTTTTTCTGCCCTCCTTTCCTCCTTCCCTCTGAGATATGTCAGTGTGTTCCATGCTTCCATGTCTGTGGCCTTATTTTGTTTGTCAGTTTATTTTGTTTATTAGATTCCACGTATAAGTGAGATCGTGTGATTATATTTTATTCATAGTTTTAGGTTTTCTCTGCCAGGAAACATTTGTGTGGATATCTAATCCCTTTGATAGCAGGAAAGTGATGGTAATATCCATATTTATAAGTAGATGACTAAAACTCACCACAAATGAAATACCCTACAAAATATTCTTAATATTTTGAACTAAATGTGAAACAACCTAGACATTGTAATGAATCTCCCTAGCTGTGTTGGTGAGTTTTGTGTTAATTGGGCATGAACTGAAATTTGTTTGTCTAAGTGACACATAATTTGATAAACATCTCATGCTTATGGTTAAGTAGATTCTGTGTAGGAGGCAAAATAATGGAATTTTAATTAAGTCTGTGCCTACATTATTGATATTTAAGGACCACAATACATTTTCAGTGTGCTATTAAAATTACTTATGCATTTAGAAATAAAGCGATCTTATTATTGTTCCACTATTACATTATTATTCTCTTTTCATTAGTCCTTAGGTGGCTTTATAATAATACTGAGCACAGATGGAGTGATTATTTCTGTGGCCGAAAACATCTCTTCTCTCCTTGGCTATTTACCAGTAAGTTCTTTCAGCTCAATTTGGGAAAGGATCATTCAGTTTGTTGTTTAGTTCATTATTATTTGTTTTCAGGAACATATAACTCACTAAAGATATTCTCAGTGTTGTCAAACTGTGCATCAGTTTTATTGTTGTCTCCATTGATTTTAGTTTAAATCTATGAAAACAAATTCTGATATGAGGTAATGAAACAGGGTGTGTGTGTGTGTGTGCGCGCGCGCGTCTTGTAAACTGCCCCTGAAGGCAATCTCCAAATAAGAAATGTGGTTTTTGAATTAACATTATTTTCAGAATCAGTGGATGGTCCCCAAGTTAATTGCAAATGAGGCAGCTTTCACTGGAATGGGTATATTTGGCTTTGTACATTTGTATAGAGTCCACCATATACTGATTAAATGATAAATATCATGATTTGTTCATACTGGCTCATGGCATTCATTTCCAGGTCTGATTTGCTTTTTGTTCCTTTATATTAAATAACAAATTATGATATTATTTAGGAAAAAATACAGATATTATTATATAGCTTAGCAATATTTTAAGAATTACTGGAGACACCTACACTTGTGTTGTAGTCATGGACTCCAGTGTCCAAAATGGTCACTCGTTCTGAGCCCCTTGGTGTTTCTATGCCCCTATTAGGAAAGCTTTTTCTATCTTCATAGTATCATTGACTTAGAACATAATATTTCCTAATTTTTTCTGGATCTTTAGGCTGCACATCTAAAAAATATATCACTTAAATATGAAGGAACTACATACCTTTTCCACTCTTGTATGTATGTGAAAAGGGGCTGTGTAGAATACATCTACTACCACAACTACTCCTGAAATCTCTGTCATTTGGCTTCTGGTGTTAATTATATCTGGATTGTTGCTTTTACTCTATATTCCTCACTACTCCACAAAGTTGCTTCAAGAACTTAACAAACCCTGACACAGAGACCTATAGCATTCAAGTTTGGAACATGTACATTAATAGACATTTTGTTAAGTTATCCTTTAGTTAAATTAAAACTGGATTAGAAGCTTACGCCACTAGTTATGCTGTTCCAGCTGACATGTCCCAGAGCCCACTTAGAAACCCAGAGGGCTTTTCTGCTCTTCTCTCTTTATTTACAGATACTGTGATCTATCTCTTTCTCATTCTCTTATTTTATTTTAGAAAAGTTTACATTTTGAAACTCAGTTTATATTTGTAGGATACCAAAAGAGCTGAATAAATTACAAATATTATAGATATTCATTGAATTGGACTTTAGAGTACTTATATAAGGGAAGGAAAATGGTCTTATTAAATCTATATTAAAAGAATGTATTAATGCCCTGGCCAGTTTGGCTCAGCGGTTAGAGCGTCCGCCTGCGGTCCGGAGAGACCCGGGTTCGGTTCCCGCTAAGGGCGCGTACCTCGGTTGCAGTTTGTCCCCGGCCCTGGTTGGTCGTGCGGGTGGCAGCCACTCGATGTGTCCCTTTCACATCGATGTTTCCCTCTCTCTCTTCCTCTCTCTCCCTCCCACTCTGTCTGTACAAAAAATGGAAAAATGTCCTCGGATGAGGATAAAAAAAAAAAAAAGAATGTATTAGTATGACCCATTACAGATTAAATTTCGTTCTATTGAAGACCAGAAAATTACCCAAACTTTGTGGTTTTTAGATATTACTTAAAGTTGTCATTTATTGAGATTGGTGGCTTTTTCTTATTATATGGGGGTTATTTCAGTGATGGTGTTAGTTATAATATTATTCTTGTTTCTTTATATATTTTGGTTCAAAATTTTTACTCTCAAAAGACTTGTTCACCCTTCAACATTTGAGGTACTATACACACACATAACACACACAGAGTTACTCTGAAGAAAAGGTATTTGGGACATGATGGGTTTGAATGACTAATCTTATATCATGGACTTGATTGCCTGAGATCGGTGTACTTAAAACTAAAGTTATAACTATTATGCCTGTATATAAACATTAAATGGTAATGAAGTTATATATTCTTATAAAACATGGTTTTACAAGACTATACTTGAGGTACATTTTATACTTTTCTTCATTAAATTTTAACTTTTCTTAATTTGGAACATGCTTTCAGGTTTTGACTAAAAATATCATTTTAGCCCTGGCTGGTTTGGCTCAGCAGTTGGAGCTTCGGTCTGTGGACCTGAGAATCTTGGGTTTGGTTCCCGTTAGGGGCATGTACCAAATATATATAAGTCACACATCTTATGTTAATATGGAGACCAAACCACTTCTAGAGTATCTGCCTGGCTCCAGTAACTTACAGTTTCATTAAAAATCAAGGCACCTCTGTCCTTTGCGCAACTCTAAACTAATAGCATTTGGGATAGGAAGAACTTGGTCTTTGGAGTCGATCTGGAGATTAAAAATGTATCTCTGTTACTCACTAACTACACAAGATTTAGTTCTTCGTGTGTAAATAGAGAAAAAAATTACTCAGAGAATAACTGGAGGTGGACTATTACAAATGATGTGGTTAGTAATACATGTCTGATTAGGTGACATGAACAAAGACCTGAATAGAGTGAGTATTGTGAGTAGTGCAGATAACCTAGAGCAAGTGTGTTCCAGGCAGAAGCAAGAGCAAGCGAGAAGGCACTAAAGCAAGAATGTGCTTGATGTACAAAAAGAAAATAGGCCATTGTGATTAGAGTGCTGTGCACAAAGGGGAAAGTACTAAGAGGTGAGGAGGTCAGAGCAGTAACAGAGGTTTACTTTGTTTAGGGCCATTGTAATGACTTTTTCTTTTCCTCTGAGAAGGGAGGAAGCCATTGGGGATTTTGGAGCAGATGAGGGAAGTGATCTGAACTTAAGTTTTATTAGAATCATTCTGGTTCTTCTGTAAAGAATAGGCTATGGGTACAGGCATGGAAGTAGGGAATCCATTTGGAAAGTTATTGCAATAGGTCAGGCAGTAGATGACAGTGAGTTGCATTAGGTGGATGTGAAATTAGTCAGCATTTTGTAAGTAAAATAAGTTTTGCTGGTAGCTTATATGAGAGTGACTAAAGGACGAGAAAAATCCAAGTTATGATGTTATAACACATACCATGATTAAAATGATGATTGTCATCATCATGGTATTAAACTTATATTCAGAATCTACCTTTACATTTTCCTAATCACTGATTTTTCTTTACAGCTTTTTCTTTGGAAAAATTTGTAGTCACCTTTCTCTGTTCTTAGCACTCTGCCTTCCTACTCACCTTTATCACTCTTCCCTACCACCCAAATTTAAAAATGGAGCTTTTATTTTTTATAATTTTTAAACAAATGAAAAATTTAAAATACACATTTCATCATGGAAAGACTGTCTCATAATTGAGTTTTAAGAGACTTCAGCATTTTTTTATCATAAATATATGGTTTAGTTTGTGACTAGTTTTGCTCGGTTGTCCCTGTGAAACTTACATCATAGTAGATAATTACTAATGATGAGTTTTGTTTGATTCAGGATACAGTGGCAGTCTGGTATAGAGGCTCTTATCCTTCCCAGTGACCTGTACGGTGGAACAGTTTTCTAATGCATGTTTAATGTGAATGTCTCTGCTAGTAAACAGATGCTGCTTGCCTGGATTCTCAGTAAATGTCATGGAGTGGAGTAAATTTCTTGATTCTTTTTTACATTTGGCATGACTGAGACTCACCATACTAATATTGGTGGATAACTTATAGGTATTTTCAGACTTTGCGTTTGAAAAATCTCCTTAAATTTTTTACTGGTATTTATCTTTGCTTCATTACATTCTAAGCATCTTGATCTTTCCGCCTTGTGTAATAAGAGCAAATACGAAAGATTTATAAAAACAACAGGTGTTGGTAATTCTTTCAGGTTTCTACCCTTTATTTAACTATGGGCAGGGTCACTGGAAAGATCTTTACATGCACTGCTTTGGTTGGTGGTCAATTATAAAGCATTCATTGTCAGTGTTACATTTCTCTTTTTTTATTTTTTTTATTTTTGATCTTCCCCTGAACACGCTTTTTAAAAAATTTATCTTCAGATAGAGCGGGAGAGAAGGGTGAAGAAAGAGAGAGATTTTTTGACGTTAATTTTGTATCCTGCTACTTTGCTAAATTCATTTATTAAGTCTAGCAAATTTTTGATGGAGTCTTTGGGGTATTCTACGTATAGTATCATGTCATGTGCGAATAATGACAGTTTCAGTTCTTCCTTTCAGATTTGTATCCCTTTTTTTCTTCCTGTCTGATTGCTGTGGCTAAGACTTCCAGTACTATGTTCAATAACAGTGGCTAAAGTGGGCATCCATGTCTTGTTCCTGTTCTTAAGGGAAATGCTTTTAGTTTTTGCCCATTGAGTATGATATTAGCTGTAGGTTTTTGATATATGGCCTTTATTATGCGGAGATCTCTCTATTCCTCGGTTGCTGAGAGTTTTTATACACCAATGATGAAGTCACAGAAAGAGAAACTAAAAAAACAAACCCATTTACCAATGCAGCAAAAAATTTAAGATACCTAGGAATAAACTTAACCAAAGAAATAAAGGACCTATTTGCAGAAAACTACAGGTCATTGAAAAAAGAAATAGAGGAAGATGTAAAAAAAGCAGAACCACATACCTTGTTCATGGATTGGAAGAATTAACATCATTAAAATGTCCATATTACCCAAAGTAATCTATAGATTCAATGCAATCCCCATCAAAATACCAATGATATACTTCAGAGAACTAGAACAAATATTTCAAAAGTTCATATGGAACCAAAAAAGATCCTGAATAACCACAGCAATCTTGCAAAAAAAAGAGCAAAGTAGGAGGGATCACATTACCAGATTTCAGGTTATACTACAAAGCCACTGTAATCAAAACAGCCTGGTACTGGCTCAAGAATAGGCAGATAGATCAATGGAACAGAATAGAGAACCCAGAAATAGACCCAAGACTATATGCTCAATTAATATATGACAGAGGTGGCAAGAGCATACAGTGGAGTCAAGACAGCCTCTTTAATAAATGG